TTTTAAAAAAAATGTATTTTATTGAAGGGAGAGAGATAGTTAGAAACATCCATCAGCTGCCTCCTGCACACCCCCCATTGGGGTTGTTCCCGCAACCAAGGTACATGCCCTTGACCGGAATTGAACCTGGGATCCCTCAGTCCTCAGGCTGATGCTCTATCCACTGAGCCAAACCGGTTCTGGCTCTAATTCCCTTTTAATGTGCATGAATTTCATGCATCGAGCCAGTAGTGTACACACACACACACACACACACACACACACACACCGTGTTTCCCCGAAAATAAGACCTCCTCTGAAAATAAGACCTAGCGCATGGAAAGATAAGACATCCCCTGAAAATAAGACCTAGCGCAACTTTGGGGGGAAAAATTAATAAAGACACTGTCTTATTTTTGGGGAAACAGGGTACATATACATATACATATACATATACATATATTATACATATACATAATATCATGCAGTCAGGGGGTCCCTCAACCCAGCCTGTGCCTCTCACAGTCCAGGTAAACTGGCAGGACATGCTGCCCGGGAGGTGGGAGAGGCTCCTGACACCGCTGCTGTGCTCGCCAGCCATGAGCCCGCTCCCCCCGTGGCAGCTCCTGCGTTCAGCGCCTGCCCCCTGGTGGTCAGTGTGTGTCACAGCGAGCAGTCTTCTGCGGTTGGGTCAGTTTGTGTATTCGCCTTTGATTCTATAGGATGCTGCTGAGCTCTCCACCCATCAGTGTGGAGCAGCACTGGAACTCAGGCTGTGGGTGGGATGGGGAGATTGAAAAACTCGATCCAGAGGAAAAGAGCAAAGGGAGAGGAATCCTGGAGACTCCTGGTGGCTCCTCAGCTGCTTCCTTCTCTTCATCAATGACAACCTGCCAGTGAGGCTCTGGCTCTTGGGGCCTCTGAGGATGCAAGTGAAATGTTAGACATGGAAGTGCTTGAAGTCGCTGGAGGGCCACGCAGCCAGGGTATTAAACTCTATCGCCTCCTGTGCTCTGCAGGGACCACTGTTCACACCTCCTCCTCCCCCACCGCCCCCCAAACTGCCTTCTAACCAGCGAGCTAGACTGCGGCAGGCCTGGTTCTTGTGACTGTGGGTGCTGAGGTGGCTGGGAGCTGGCCCTGGGCCTGGCGCCTTAAAACTTGGAGATGGAAACCTTGATAGCAATTTTCATTTAGGGATGGTTATAATATCTTGGGAAGAGGGGCGTGGAGTCTGGAAGATGCTCCGTTCCCTGTGGCGGTGGGGCAGGCGCTTAGGAAACAGGAAGCAGAGGAAGCAGGCTCAGGCAGGCGGCGGGGCCAGGGGGGCCCGGGCAGACCCTCTGTAACGGGGACGCGGGGCGTTTTGTATTTTTACTCACCCCTTCATTCCTGCGGTTGTCCGAGCAGCTTACAGTATCCCGTGGGCTGAGGGAATGTGTTTTCACAGAGACGGCAGGAGGCCTCTGAGCCAGCCCCACGCTGCCCCGCTGGTGGGAGGGATGACGGCCTGTGGGGCGGCCCAGGGGACCCTCTGCTGGGGGTGGCGCCAAGAGCCAGAGGAGCCGCTGGAAAACCAGTGGCCGAGTCCCCGAGTCCCGGAGCAGGATGACACATAAGGAGTTCCAACTGCTTCACGCTTCCTGGGCTCATTTCCTCAGAAAGAAGAGCCAGGCCAGAGCAGACAATCTCCCTGACCCGTCCTGTGAGCTAACTGCGGCTTCCGTTTCCACTCACAGTCTGCGGCTTACATGGCCCTTCCTCTTCACGGGGCTGAGGAAATGGGTCTAGACTGTGCCTGGGTCTGTGTGGACACATCTGTACACACACACACACACACACACACACACACCAGCTCTGCGTGGACACATCTGTACACACACACACACACACACACACACACACCAGCTCTGCGTGGACACATCTGTACACACACACACACACACACACACACACACACTCCAGCTCTGCTTGGACACATCTCTACACACACACACCAGCTCTGTGTGGACACATCTGTACACACACACACACACACACCAGCTCTGTGTGGACACATCTGTACACACACACACACACACACCAGCTCTGCGTGGACACATCTCTACACACACACACACACACACACCAGCTCTGGATAAGCACATAGCAAATATAAATGCTTACCTTAGTGAATGTATTTTGGAGTTTTTTGGTTAACCCTCCTCTGAGGAAATGTTTTCCATTGGTTTGGGGAGCGGGTGGCGAGGGGATGGGGAGAAGCATCCACATGAGACACACGGATTGGCTGCCTCCCTCCCGCCCGCGCCTGATGGGCCCACTGACCCTGAAACCAGGGAGGTGCCCACAGGTCACTGAGGGGACATGCCGAGACCCCAGGAGCCTCTGAGTGAGGACAGTGCGGGAGGCAGCAGCAGAGCGGGGGGCGGGAAACCAGGGGTCCAGTGCACAGAGGCTTCAGGAGGGGAGGGTGTGTGTGTGTGTGTGTGTGTGTGAGCTGGTGCAGACGGGCATGCCCTCCGGGCCTTCCTCCACGCCCCGGACGCCGCTGCCCTAGAGAGGGAGGAGGGGGCTGTGTCTGGAGCAGAAAAATAACCCCCACCCAACCCAGCTGCCCCCGCTGCCACTGCCGGAGGCCAGGAAGCACACTGAGCCGCTGCTTACAAAAGTATGTTTTAATAAACCCACGTATTTCAGTGTTGTTAACATGATAGCCAATGCTGTATCAAGGTAGCAAAAGTGAAGGTTCCTGGTATTGGCGTAGAGACACTACGAACGACAGTCCGTTTGCATCCGGCGTCACAAGAACCATCTTCAGGGTCATGGAGGCTCAGCCGGGACAGCGTCCCGCAGCGAGGACGCCTCCGGGGCTGCGGAAACGGAGCCCGAGGAACCGGCCCGGGACCGGGCGGCGAGTGCTGCCGCTGGTGCCGGGGAAGCCACGGGGCAGCGGTGGCAGGGCTGACCTCTGGAGGGACCCGCGGGGCCAGTGCTGGTGAAGGGAACGCTATTGCTGTGGGCAGGGCGAGCTGGCGCCACAGGCCACCCCCCACCCCCACGGGCATGGGGAACAGCAGAACCAGCAGCCCGACCTCCCCACGGACCTCCTGCCCGGCGGGCCGGGACACAGGCCCCCGTTACAGTGAGGGGGCGACTCCATCGTCCAGCCTCCAAGGTCTAGTGTTACAAGGTCAGGCTGAGAGCAGGATTCTCCCCTCCGAGGCGAGGCTGGTTAAGAGCCAATCAGACCCATTGGCAGGAACTGGCTTACAGGAGGTGCTCACCTCACGTCCAGAGTCCTGCCTGATGTTACTGTGCCCGGCCCTGGGCCACAGGGACTTGTTTTAACCCACGGCTGCAGACTGAAGTCAGCACAACAAAGAATGCAGCTGCTTATGTGCTGGCCACTCCTCCTGGCCACTAGCCGGCCGGAAGCCTGTGCTCTGAATGAGCAACCACGCCCTGCCCCAGGCTGGACAAGCCCCGGGAAAACGCACTTTCCCCTCACGGGGTGTGAGGACGGGACTCTGATTGGAATGACCAGATCACGGCTTGCCTCTTAGTGTTTGTTCTCATCTCGCTCTAGACCTGAACCAAGCCACCTTCCCATGAAGCTCCGATCCTCCTCCTCACTGTGCTCCGCCCCGAGCGGGAGTGACGGGGCAGCTTCCCCCCGGGGCTTCCCTTTCCTCAGGCCGATACTCCAGCTCAGGAGGGTTTCCCTCTGGACAGGGTGTGCTGAAGCTATTAAATGAATCAGAATCCGCTTATGGAAAAGTTAAAAATGTAGTTTACTGAAAGATAGGCATCTTTACAAAGAGGAGCACTGCAGTCCGGTCCAGGCGCTGAAATAAAAGTGGGGACTTTAACAGCCCATGGACCGGAGCCACTGCCTTGGTGCATGTGCACAGCATCCATCTCGCGTGGGGCATTCACTCTTAAGGCAGAGAGACGGGACCTGGCGTGTGACGGCCTGGCTCTCGCACCCAGGGCCGAGCTGGGAGCGGACTCAGCAGACAGAGTCCTGGCTGTGAGGCCGGACGGCTGTGTGAGACAATCCCATCCCTAGAGAACGTGACGTAGAGACATACATCTGAGGGAGCAGGAAGAGGAACTGAAAGATGACAGATGTGTCTTAAACAAGAGGCCAATGAGGAGGATTCCATTGAGGTGACTGCTCCCTAAGACACTGCACTGCCCTCCCTGACGTGGTGCCAGCGTCAGACCTCGGCGCTCGCTGCTGGAGTGTGTGCTGGAGACCAGCTCTCAAGGTCTCATAAAGGCAGCTGGACAGTCCCCCGCAGCTGGAAGGCACCGCCCTGCTGCTTGGAAGGCTACCGTGCACGGAGGCTGTCACCGGGTAAGATCAAAATGAGGCCTCCAGCCGTGTGCAAAACCACCAGTCAGTTACTTTAATGAAAAACATCTTAACTCCAGAGTCAGAGGCGTCAAAGCCTCCCGCTGGAGGGGTGCTGGGAGGACCCCGGGAGATGTGCTGCCCGCGGGGGGGGGGAGGGGGCTGCCTCCCAGCAGACCCAGGCCCTGGCCTCGCGCTGTGTGTGCTCCTTCACCTCTGCATCCTGTGCCAAACCCTCCACAGACAGCACAGACCTGACAGGCAGCTCCCAGGCGGGGGCCGCCGGCCGCTGTGTGCCCGCGGCTGACCCAGAGCCTGGCAGTGGGAAGTGTACGATCGCTGCCGGACGGACAGCGAAGACGTGGAGTTTCTTCTCTCCGGCGGCAGGAGTCCATGCAGGATTGTAAACAGCGGTACAAAATACTGTAAACATAACTTAGGAGAGTGTAGAAAACAGAAGAGTAATCTGATTTATAGTGGGTAAAAAACCAGAGGCGCTGCCCGCAGTCTCCCTCCTGCGGCGCGGTGGTTGTACAAATGGCATCCTGAGCTGTGACGGGATTGGGGTGAGCCAGCTTTGCATACCAGCATCCTAGGACGCTTCCTCTCTGCTTCTCGCCAGTGAGTCGCCTGCCAGACGGTGCGGAGTGAGGCTTTGGAGACCTCAGAGTTTCGTGTGGCGCCCGGGCCGGGCGGCGGCCGCGGCGGTCGAGGCAACCGCGTCCTCGGCCTCCTCCAGTTCGCCCTGCAGCTCCTGGCTCACGCTGGACTGCAGCGCGGCGGGCGTGAGCCACTCCTTGGGGAGGCAGCTCTGCAGGAAGGGGATGCAGGAGCTGAAGTAGGCCAGCCGGTTGATCCAGCGTGGAATCTCCTTCCCGCAGAGGATCTGGAGGAGGAAGGGCTAGTTAGGCGAGAGGTAACCGCGATCGCCCTTGCCCTGGCGGGGGGAGGGGGAGGCCGGGCAGCCCCCAGCGGGGCCGGGCCCTCCTGTCAGCCTCCCTCAGGAGCCCTGGCCAGCTGCTGGCTTCTCCGTCTGTAAAAAGAGCTATTCCACCTGCTCCTTCCTTCCTTGCTTCGAGTCACAGGGGAGGCCTCTGCCACCACCACGGACTTGAAGTACAGGGTTACTGCAGTGCAGGGACGCCCAGACTAGGGGCGAGCGGGCAGTCTTGGGTATGTTCCTGTCTGTGAACTCTCCTGGCCCTCACTGGCCCCGCTTCCCAGGAGCGCACACTGGTCCACCAGGGACAGCAGGCAGACGAGGCCCGGAGGGCTCCTCCGCTGATCCCTTTTCCTGTTTCAAACTGGTCTTTCACAAAACTACCCCCCTCTTCACTGCTCGCTTCCTTCTGCGGGACCCCGCGCTTGGCCAAGATCCCTTTCGCATTCCTGTCTCCAGTCATGCCCACAACTGTGACCATGGGAGCCAGAGTGCCATCTGTTTCTCAGCTGATAACTCAGGAAGGAGGGTTCCAAGTGGTTTATGTCCCCAAACTAGCGAGCATGCACAGAGCTGACCCCTGTCATTAAGTGATGTAACTCTCCTCCCCAAAAGGGTGAGCCTTATGCCTTAATGGTTACTGACCTGCCACCCACTGCCATCTGCCTACACTGCACACACACACAGGTGTTACCTCCATGCCGAGACACGCTAAGAACTCTGCATGGTAAAGGTCAGCCACGGGAGCGGTGACGGGGAGCACAGGTCGGTGTGACAGACACGGGGACCACGGCCCCTCCGTGTAGCCGTGTGCCTCCTGGAAGCTGCCTGTGCCCCGACCCCTAAGACAGAGCCTGTGCGCCACCGGCACCTGAGTTTGCCTCCTGTATGATGTTATGCTGGTTTCCAGAAAACCCTGAGCCATCCTCCTCCTCCCCTGAGGTCACCCAGGTCACCGTGGTCCCGCTTCTCCACTCCGTTCACAGGGAGCACCCGGGCCGTGTCCCAGGGAGGACCTGCCTCGCATGTCTGTCGTGGAGCAGACGACGCCCCTCGCACGGACTCTGTGGTGCCCCAGTCCGCTGGCCGCTGCCCCGGGAGCCGGAGGGGTGGGCAGAGCCGGGGCCACAACGGACGCCTGCAGGGGCCGGAATGCCCGGGAGGGAGCGCTGTCCTCACCTCCAGCTCCAGGCCATTTAATTCTCTAGGCCTTATCTGAGCACCTTCCACTTCCTTTCCAAGGTCCTGTCCTTTGATCTAGTTTTGGCCTTCCGCTGGGGATTCAGGACTGGGAAGGCCAGTAAGTGCCTGCGTGATGAGCTGGCAGAGTAAGATTCCCAGACAGGAAAAATGAATGTCTCATAAGAAGAAAATTCAAGTTGGCAACTAAAAGTTAGGGAAAGAAATACGAGTGGCTCGCAAGCAGTGGTCTCTGAAGCGTTCCCTTATTTACATCGGGAGTTTCAGGTTGTAATAACATGAATTAGAATAGAATAAGATAACCACTGTCTTCACTCTGTACCCACAGCAAATGCAACCCCGTTCCCAGGTGTGCTAAGTCACCAGGTGAGAAAGGCCACGCGGACAGGAGAGATGTAAGACCTCCTTACACAACATGAACCATCAGAAGGCGAACCGGCCACACGCCGGGGACAGGCAGTGCACTCGGCAGCGCTCTCCACCGGAAGGACTCTGAGGGTAAGGTTAACTCACCTCTGATAAAGCTGAGGAAAAGTGATTGCAGTTCTTGTGCATTAAGTGGTAGGCATTGCCTTTGTACTCTTTCCCCAGTTCTTCCACAATCTTTTCTATCTCGTCCTCTAGGAAGTCCGTGCTCCCTAAAACAACAGATTCTCTTAAAGAAAAGAGAAAAACACAGCTGTGTGAGCTTTAGGTCTTTACAGAAAGCATGTTTAAAGATTTGATATTGCCAGGAATACCGTGGTGATTGAAGATAAATGAGACTTTAAAAATGTCAATTATTTTAGTTTCTACTTTTCTGCAATAAACTCTTAAACACATGACGTCTGAACAATTCCAGTGCAACGTCAGTATCTTTATTCGCCCCGACATCAGAAATGCAGCATCACCATTGGTTTACAACTGGGTGTGAGCCGTCACACTACGTATCAGAGAGCCCGCTCCGTGCCTAACCGCCCCTGCCCTCACCCAGCTGCCACCCGGGACACGTAGCCGTCGCCGTCCAATCACACGGAGGATGCCAGGCAGAGCAGGCAGGGCGTCCACGGAAGCCAAGACTATTCAAACCCGCACCTGCGGGAGGCCTCTGGAGTGGACTCGGGACGGCTTTGTGCAGCGTTCCTGGGGGACGTGTTTCCATCCGCCGCAGGCGGGGGAACCACGATCACGGGCCTGGCCAGCTGGGCAGCCCTCTGCGGCACTTCAGTGGTACAGCCTCATTTCACTGTTTCCCCCGTTTTGGCCAGTTAACTATCACGTGCCTGAAGCTTCTCTGAAGCATCTTTAAGATTCTAAGCATCACTTTAGCCAAACCTTCAGGAAGTGACGGAAGCAGATGCTTGGCCTTGTTTCGGGCGCTGCTCACTCTCCGGGCTCCAGAGCCACTCAGGCCCGTACACTCTGGGTTCTCCCCTGAGCAATGGCTTCCCGGCTAGTCAGTTACTGGAAATTTATAAACAGAGTCCCTTTCCTCGGGACAGTGAAGAGACTGCTGATGCTGTCAGGCAGATTGAAATAAAACTGTCCTCCATCTCCCCCCAAACAGGAGATGAGGGGAAGCAATGTTCAGATAAGAACCTATCTACCTATCTTTCTATTTATCTTCTTCTTTTCATAGCCATTTTCAGGGACCTTAAAGACTTCAATGTCTTTAAGGCTCGTAACATGGCTTTACTGTTGCCAGCTTTCTCTAATTTCTGCAGAATAAGTAAGCAGACTTCTTGGCTGGCTCAGATATGAACCTTTGCTAAAGCAGAGCTGGCGTCAGACCGTCAGAACGGCTTCAAATCCGCAGAGTAGCTCCCGGGTGCCGAGTACAGCACGGGGCGAGGCTGCCCCTCTTTACCAGCTGCGGAGATGTGAACACGAAATGCCAGCAACTAAAGCAACGGTAGGCTAATGTCACCTCCATGCAGAGGAATCCTGTATGCCGGAAACAGTGCTGGCACTAAAACAGTGGAAAAAAATATCCTCCCACTTACTTAAATTTAAATGTCTCTCCTAGTTCAGAAGCTTTTCCGGGGGAAATTTCAAATATTCCAGAAAAGGGGTAAGGATGGCCACCGTAAGCAAATTCTGAAAAGAGAAAACTCATGATTTTTAGTATTAATCACACAAACCGTAATCAGAATGCTGAGTCAGCTTTAATAAATGATAACACCACCTAAATATTTTTCGGTTTACCACTGCTTCCACAAACATCTCATTTAGCTGTTACTTGTACAGGACTGCTGGCGCAAAAGGCCTGACACTCTAATAATGGAAGACAGTCACAAGAATTACTTTAATTGTAAGAGGAGAGTGACTAACACCCCGATGTACACACAGCCTCTCTGCCGATGGAGCCTGCCACACTAATGAGGGGTCAGTTCATTCACACAAGGTGATCAAAAGTCAAAAGTGTACTTTGCTAAAAAATCTGCCTAAGAACAACGAGTTTTGGCCCAGTCACTGTGGCTCCGTGGTTGAGCATTGGCCTGTGAACCAGGAGGTCTGTTTGATTACTCGTCAGGGCATATGCTCGGTTGCGGGCGCCATCCCAAGTGTGGGGCATGCAGGAGGCAGCTGATCCAAGATTCTCTCTCATCATTGATGTTTCTCTCTCTCTCCCCCTCTCTATTCCTCTCCGAAATCAATAAAAAACAATGAGTTTCCATGATTCCTGGCTGAAGACTCCTGGTTTATCTCTGAAATATTAGCAAAACTGAATTCAATTTCCCCATTCAAGAGAAAACAGCCTCACACACAGAGCCTGCCTGACAGTGCCGCCCACTCCTCCAGATGAGCAGGGAGCATGGTTTCTGATCGGGAGGGAGCGGAAGGTCCTGTCTGCAGCTCTGCTATGAGATTCTTCGGTATTCAAGTGGCCAATCTTAGTGGCTTGACAGAATTCTAAACACCCGTTTAAATGTATCCCATCACTTATCATTTATTAAAGGTAACCTGAAAAGATCTTCTAGCAAAGCGTGGGAAAGAACTGGCAGACACGGAGTTTACCTTTGATTCAGATCTTTCAGAAAAAAAGCAAGGATGTAGATAACCAACAGGTGTTTCACACTCAGTACTGAAATATACATTAAAACGTTTTTAATGACAGATGCTACAGAACACTGTGGGTCATCAGGCTGGCCATAGGAAGGCTGTATTTGGATTTTTAACTTAATAGCAGTCAGATGAGTCACATTGACTCTCCTATGTAAGGAGTGACCGTTCACTTTCAGGAATACAGAGTGGAACAAAAGGAGGTTTACGTTGTGTGTATTAATTATTAGTGATTGTATTGTTTCCATACTTTTGCCCCACCCTGTATTGTGCCCTGGCTTTGCTAAGCTTATGTGGACGCTTCCAACCATGTTTCTAACTGTCCCTCCCTCACTCTGTGGAAGGGAGCCGTGCTCACTAACTGTCCCTCCCTCACTCTGTGGAAGGGAGCCGTGCTCACTAACTGTCCCTCCCTCCCTCTGTGGAAGGGAGCCGTGCTCAGGCAGCCGGGAGGCCTGGCCTGGCGCAGAGAACACATGGCCTCCTCTGGGGCTGCAGCTGACTCACAGCATGGCTCTCAGCAGTTTGGTGTCTCTATCGGGAAAGTGGCTCTTATGTGCCCCCCTGGAGCACAGGCATGTGGAAAGGACACACACACAACTTGGGCAAAAGCCAAGTCACACCAGGGAGCAAACCCATACTCCAATGCCCCCAGCAATACCCCATCCGGGAGGGAGTCGCAGCCTCTGGTACCCTGGAGCTTCACAGCGACCGTGCGGCCCCCACTGCACAGCTGCCGCCGGCCCGCAGTGGCCGTGCTGTGTGAGAAAGGGACATTCCGAGCACCGTGCTGACACATGTACGTCCACGAGCCTTTTCTTCCCAGCAGCGCGGCTGGCGTGTAGGTGGCCTTTTTGAGTCAACGCAGGAACACATTGAAAGAGTCACAAAGCCAGCCTCGCTGAGGCAATGCAAGGCCTTTCTGCTCAGGGCGAGTTTATGACTCAAACTAATGTGTTATTACAGCCCTGATGAGACTGCAGTGTGGTCTGATGCACACTATTACTGCTCACAACTCGCTCACGAGTAAATTATCTTCACCGGAGTGGGCCTGAGAACAAAGACAAGCTGCTGAGAGCAGAACTGCTAATGCGAGTGGCCCGCATGCTCGCCAGGATGAGGGTAATAAAGAATAAAAAGAGCTGAGCTAACGAGGGGCCAAGACCATCGTTCCCCAGCAGAAAGCCGGGTGTAATCAAGGGCAGAGCTTGCTCATTGACATTTTAAAACTTTACAACCTCACACTGGTAGATCTACAAACACAAATCACTGAAATTCCCTCCGGAAACTGGTATTTCAAGTGTGGCACTCGCTAGAATCGACCCTTCTCCAACCAAAATGATTGTTGTGGTATAACAATCTCAAAAGAAAAATATTTTTTAAGACATACTACCGTATTTTCCGGCGTATAAGACGACCTGGCGTATAAGACGGCCCCCTAATTTTATAGTTAAAACATAGGTTTAGACCTATATTCGCTGTATAAAACTACCCCCCACTTCCGAGGCAACACCAGTTCTTTTTTTAATAGACCGCCTCTCTGACTCTGGCCAATCTGAGCAGGCTTTTTACTAAAACACAATGTACATGTTCTGTACCTGAAGCTACACTGTGTTCTAGTTTGGCCAGATTGGCCAGAGTCAGAGAGGCGGTCTATTAAAAAAAGAACTGGTGTTGCCTCGGAAGTGGGGGGTAGTCTTATACAGCGAATATAGGCCTAAACCTATGTTTTAACTGTAAAATTAGGGGGCCGTCTTATACGCCAGAAAATACAGTATCTACATATATAAAAGCCTAAGTGACCAAACGACTGAACAACCGGTTGACCGGTTGCTATGATGTGCACTGACCACCAGGGGCAAATGCTCAATGCAGGAGCTGCCCCCTGGTGGTCAGTGTGCTCCCACAGCCTGCCAACCTGCCACAGTCCCACCCCTGGGGCCAGCCAACCTCCCATGGCCCCTCCCCACAGCCGGCCAACCTCCTGTGGTCCCTCCCCCGCCGGCTAGGCCCTCCATTGGCCCGATCATCAGCCACAGGGACCCCGCCTGTGCACCAATTTGTGCACTGGGCCTCTAGTTTAGAATAAAAGATAACTAAATGAATGTACACTCATGTACTTCCCCCAAAACATTCAACTTTAGAGATTTCCTCAAAATATGGTGTAAGTAAATATGGAAAGTGATCTACTTTTCTGCAATAGAAAGTTATGGAAGCAGTTAAAAAATGGAAAGGAAGCACTATAGTTAGGATTTTGCAACTCCTTTAAAGAAAAAACCTCCAGAAAGTGTACTGAGACCGTGTGGACACTTACCTCTGCCATACACTTCAATTCCTGAATGGAAAACTCCAATCCCGATGGAGGAGGTGTACTCGTTCATCCAGTACTAGGAGAAAAGGAGAGATTCAGAACGTCTGCTCCTGAGGACTCAGCTCCACATTACATACAGGAAGCCACGACTCCCCACACTGATCCCCTTTCTCGGTATTTTCCCTTCCACCTCGGAAACTCGTATGATAATGACCCATTCGGTCCTATCTCTGTGCCTGTGCTTGTGCCACAGCCCATGTAGATTCCTTCCTGGGCCAAAAGGAATGTCTCACTTTCCTACAAGCACATTGAGAGCACAAAATCGAAACCTGGCCAGGATAGGGGAAAAATTGATATGTAAGTTCTGTTAGTGACTTAAAAATTCACCCGACATCTGCTTTCATATCTATGTTTCTTCTCGCTAAGCTTTCCTTTTCATTCCCTGACAAGCTCCCTGAAGACAGGGATATTTTATACATAGGTAGTGAAATTACCTATGTACATAGGTAGATAGGAAATTATGGGGATGACTGTCCGGGGGGTTAAAAAGGTAAACTGCAGAGAGCTATACCTGGAAGAAGGGAATGAGCTAAAAGCTCATTAAACAAACATTAAATGTTGGATAATATTTAACAGTGTTACAAACCCTATCAGATTTCTCCCAGGTCAGAAGATCAAATGATCTTTAATTTTTCTAGGTTTATTTAAGTTTCAACCTTGGCTCTGAACGGCTGGTCAGTTTTCTCCCAGACCTGGGAAAAGGCACAGTCCATACATGGCTGGGAAAACGTAAACAGATAAAGCTGATTCTCTCCCCCGCCCTCAAATATACCTAGAGGAAAAATATTTGAAAAAGAACAAGGGACTTTCTCATCTGGTATCACAATATTCACTAAAAGAGTATGGTACTGCCCTAGCCCGTCAGCCCGCAAACTGAAGGGCCCCAGGTTCACAATAGCTACCATTCTTTTTTTAATCTACCAGATTTGCAAATACAAATTATGCTGCTAATACTTGGTAATGAAGAATGTGAAGAGTGACTCAGTGGTAGTTAACTAACCAGGCTACTTCATGGGATCTTTTCTAGAGAAATACTGGGCATATGCAAAGATACACTGCAGCTTATTAACTGCGTTGTCTGTAATACTGAAAAAATAGGAATAATTTAAATATCAGTAGGAGAACGACTAAATAAATGATGGTGAGTCTGTATTATGAACTATCACTGTCTACAGCTACTACAAAGAATGAAGTAACTCAATACTTCTAGACATGAGACGGTAGCTAAGACACCAAGTGGAAGCCCTATTCATATTATAGCATGATCATACTTCCATAAAATAAACACAGTGTACGTTTCTTTACATACTAAACATGGAAAAATAAAGCAAAACCTCCATCAACTACAACAAAATAATGTTTGAAGCAGAACGAAGTGTTAACAGTTTGGGAGAGGTGGGAGGGAGAAATATAAAGGGATTCTTTCACTTTTAATTCCATATTTCCAGACTTTATTTGAATCCTTATACTATCGTAAGGGAATAGGCTCATTATACAAACATCACAAGCAGCAGCATTACTTGTGTGAGGAAAATACTGGTAACAACTGACGTGTGATTCTCAGGGTCCTGGCTGGATAAACTGTGCTATATTCACACAACATGTGGGTACGATGCCGCCATAAAAAGGAGGAGAAGCTCTCAGGAACTGATAAGAAGCTGATCTGAAGGGACTTCCATTGGTCAATGTTGGAAAAACCTGAGTAGCGAAGAGAACAACAGTGGACTATGAGAGACTGAATAAGGAGAATCGGAGCCCACAGTGACACAAAAAAGAAGGAATAGCTCTTCTGACAGAAGAAAGCCAGCTAATCAGTGTGGATGCGAAGGCAGAAGCAGGGAAGCACCATTTGCAGCCCCTGCTGACACAAGGTTCATGGATGTTAACACCCTGGGAGAAGGCTGTGGAGAAGCAATGGTCACATAGTCTCCAAGTACCAACCCTCCATTCCCCTAAGCTGTAAGGAAAAAGGTATCTTTGCAATGGAAAATCACGGAATCATCTTACCGAAGTGATTAAACTGAGTATTGTCAACAGGTGGACAAACTGGTGTTATGTACCTCCTGATATGATGAAACGGAAAGGCCATAACATTTCCTGATAGTTTTCTTGTCAACTATGTTAAAGAGAAAATAACCATAAGGAATAATCAGCTAAGTGTGAGATGTTCAATAAGACACGTGGCCTGGTCTTTTAAAAATAATGAAAGTTAAAAAAAAAAAAAAAGGGGGTGGGTATTCTTCAAAGGAAGATTAAAAAGATTCAACAACTGAATACAATGAAGGATTTTGACAACAGCTTAGATTAAAAAAAAAAAAAAAAGGACATTATTGAGATAACGGCGGGGGGGGGGGGGGGGACGACGACATTAATAGGGACTGTACGTTACATGATATTGTACCAACTGAAAATTTCTTGGATGTTATAATAATGTGGTTAAGGTAAGACTGTCTTCTTAGAAAATATATGCTGCAATATTTACAGATGAAATGCTATAATGCTTCTATATTCTTTAAAAGATATATTTTAAATTGATTTTTAGAGAGGAAGGAAGGGAGAGAAATATTGATGTGATAGTGAAACATAGCTTAGCTGCCTCCTGCACGCCCCCTACCGGACACTGAACCTGCAACCCAGGCATATGCCCTGACTGGGAGTCAAACCAGCAACCTTTTGGTGCATGGGACGATGTCCAACCAACTGAGCCATATCACCCTGGCATTCCCCCTTACTTTCCGTGTGAGTGTGAGGTGAAGGAGAGGGTAAGAGAAGCTAATGGGTGACTCTAGGTAAAAGTATACAGACTGTATTATTCTTACAACTTTTTAACAAATATATATTTTTGTGATTTCAGAGAGGAAAAGAGAGCAAGCACCAATGGTGACAGAGAATGATTGATCGATACCTCTTGCACACCCCACACTGTGGATTGAGCCTGCAACCCGGGCCTGTGCCCTGACAGGGAATCAAACTGTTCATAGGTCAACACTCAACCACTGAGCCACGCAGGCCAGGCCTTACAACTTCTTTTTGAAGGTTTATACATTTTCAAAATAAAGATTAGGGGGAACTAAAGAGAATGATCTAGTCCAGTGGGCGGCAAACTCAGTCAACAGAGCGGCAAACCACAGCTTCCGACTGCATGTGGCTCAGGAGCTGCAGTTTGCCGACCACTGACCTAGTGCTTGCCTCCCTCCAACCGAAGAGATGACTTTCCAAGTTTCCTGCTACCTCCTCCTTTCTCCTCTCAGAGTAGAAAATAGAAGGTGACCTGCCAGGCCCCATAAACACGCTGCCAGGCTTTTCCAGGGAGCATTTCCTTGGCGGCACTCCTAGGACTTCCCTGCCTTTTCCACGTGAGAAATCCCATTGTGCTTAGCGTTTGCAACCAATAACTCGGCCTGCATACTGCTGACTTCCATACGAAGGAAAGCAAGGCAGGCTTTTTTTTTTTTCCTGGTTGCTGATAGCTCTATTTTAGTGACCTTTCTCTTTGTACACATGAGCTTCCCTTTTAAAATGCAGAATATTTTCCAAAAAACACATATACTAATGGTTTGCCTAGAACATCTACAATAAAACACTGTCTAACAATGTTTTAAACTCTTAGTAAATTGAACATTCATTTCCATTTAATGTTTCATATCACTTAATTTTAACAATTTATCTTTTAGTTGGGCAGTAAATAGCCTTCCCAAAGTGCTTTTATAATAAATGTCTATAATGGGAATCTAACGGTTTTACTGAGAGACAGAAAGGTTTTCACGAAAAAGTAAAATTATATACAGTGACTTTGGGCCAGAGGGAAACACAGGGCTGGGATGGGAATGCATTCTGAGTGGGATCCCAACTCAGAATCTCTATCCTCTGCCTTCTCACCAATAGCAACCCTCTTACCCAGGCCCAGGGATTGCATGCTAGGGCTCCTGCATGCTGCCAGAGTAGGTACTATACTATTTCAGTTTGAAACTTCCCTGCACTCAAGACTTTACATTTAAAAAAGTAAACATTTTATGAATTGGGAAATCTGTAAAAATTTAATCTGTAGAAACTTAAAAACAAGGAGAAAATGTACCTTCCAAAAATGTGGTCGCCTGTGGAATTCAGGATACTGAGGTCTGACCTATATAAGGTTTTAAAGAACTGCAGAGACACTACAATGAAAAATGAATACCCGATAGTTGTGCATGTGGTAGTGTTATCTCTGCTCTCAAACGGAAAGTTACAATTAGGTCAAGTGTTTTTGTCCGAGGTTATAGGAAGCCACAAGTTGCAGGGAAATAGCTGTTTCTTTGTCAGCATTGAACAGCAGAAGGCCATCCACTCCTAACGTTTTTCCCAAGGTTCTGTCTCCATATTGTGTGCCAGGCAGGAGCTGATGTGGTGGTGCTTACCTACTGTTCACAACAATAAGGGACTCAGTAACTTTCTGCTTTTATGTTTCTTTGTGTTCTTATCTCCAGAAATACCCCCAAATTTAAGGGTTAAGTTCTTTGAGAGATTAAGTAACTACTTACTAATTAGAAACCTATGAATAGACAGCTCTACTTACAGAAATAAGAATTTCAAGTAACACTATCAACAAGTGTATACCAACAAATTAGATGACTGAGATGAAATGGAAAAATTCATCAAAAGACACAAATTACCAAAACTAACTCAAGAAGAAATTTAAAAATCTGAATCTATATATATAAAAACTTAAGCAACCATTACAACAGAATGACTGGTCGCTATGATGTACACTGACCACCAGGGGGCAGATGCTCAATGCAGGAGCAGCCCCCAGCCTCTGCAGGCCCTGATCGCGTGATGGGGGCCTGCTGGCCAACCTCTGGTGTCCGCCCGCCCTCCCAGCCCCCCTGCTGGCAGATCCCAATTGCCCAATCGGGGCTGGACCCAGGGCTTGGATGGGGAACTGGGGACGGGTGGTGGTGGATGCGGGTGGCGAGGGAGGAGGAGGTGGAGACCACGCAGTGGCAATGTGCAGGTGGCAGGGGAGGAGGACGCAGGGAG